TTTTTGAACTATTGCGTTTTGAATTCAGTGAAAATCTGTCTAGGTTACATGCATTTTAAATGGGATCAGCTGTTCACTTTACCAAAGTGGTAACCAGTGACGTCATGTGCGCACGAAAATCGAGTTTTCGAGCGATTAATATCCTACCTTGTATTCATTGTATCATGAGCTCAACCGAATTATATCGATGAATTTTAGTCTAATAAGAGAGCCTTAATGAACTCGTTGTATCAACAACCTAATAAAATACGTCCTGCTTGTGTTGAGATAAATACATAGTTATTTTATTTCAATGCCCTTTTCCCTATTAATAATCTAATAATTATCATTAATAATTCGTTTTTTATTTTAAAAAATCCGTAATTTGAGCCTAGTTTCTTCAATATAAATTTTTCATATAAAACGCCACTATTTTTATTCACAGAGCTCGCGCGAGAGTAGAAACCCTCTAAAAATCCGTTAAAATTGGCATGCGTTTTTATTCACCCCAGTCCCCAGTGATGGGTTAATAGAAACAATCAGGTTTTTTTAAATCTTAACTGAATCAACTGCTATCGTTTTTCTCTCATGGTTAGATAGTAGTAACCTAGACGCACTATTGAAGACTTTATTTAAGCCTTTAATGTAGTTGCAACCGACAAACCTACAAAACATAACATGTACAATTTGGTTTTTATTAGCCCCGTTTTACGGTATCCGGATAATCAATCGCACAGATAGCAACCGGATATCCATAGTATCCGGATTTTGTTAGTATGGGCAGATGGTGATGAAACGTAGATATAAATACATAAACTTGTACACATACCTCTAAGAACCCACAAAATTTCAACATATGGGGCACGTCAGCTTCAAACAGGTTATTTAAACACGCACTACTCTTTAAACAGATTCTGCAGATTTGCCCATAGTCAGTTTTATCGCCTTTCAAGTCCATTTTGTATTAAAAATACAAATTAAAACAATGTTTTCTCAAAATCCAAATATGTCCAAACAACTGTCCACCACAGATCACAGAGGTTATAGATTGGAAACTGTAATATGCACCTGCAGAATGTTATTTGGCGCTTATTCTCAGCGGCTGCTTGTAAACTAAAGTGCACTACAAACCACTACTGGCAGAAGAAATTTTCTTTATCGATTACGTTCACATCAAAGTTTAGCGGGATATTTGATTTCAATTTATGACCTCTGTGATTTCCGTTGAAGTTTCAATAATATTTCAAGCATCTCATCATGCCCCTTAATTGTGATGTTTATGCTAGAGCTTCAATTAACATCACAATTAAAGGGCATTATGAGATGCTCGAAATATTATTGAAACTTAACAGAGATCGCGGAGATCATAAAGTGAATTCAAATCGTCTGCTAAAATTTTGTTCGTGTGAAAACTAGGACTAATTGGGAAAATAAAGCACATTAATTTTCTCTACAATAGGTATTTATTGAACTTAAAAATCTAGAGATGTAATTTGTATTGATATTACATGAGTTAGATAGCTAGTGTTTCAACAAAATTGGTGTACCGTGGATGGCCGAGTATCAAACTCTTTCTTCTGCTTCCAACTTTTATTTCACTCGGTATAACTTTAACTACGGAACAGGAACAAACTAACTTCTAAATTAACATCAACTTCACAAACAATAACAATAACAAACGGAAAACTCGGTCTTCCGACTAGCGGTGAAAAAAGTGAAATTCTATATATTTTATTATTATCTATAAATTTTATGGCAATTATCAAATGCATGTTGACAAATGCGTGATTTATGATATTCTCTGTTTTTTATGTATGATTGGTGTTCTTTGAGTCTTTTGTGAAATGGTCTTGAGGTTTCTCCTATATAAAATTTATTGCATTAGCAAGGAATAAATTACATTTTTTGTATTTTCAATTATATCATGAGGTTTTGTTACTGAAATTTTACTTCTAATTGTATTTTCAGTTTTGAAGATAGTCCTAA